GAATGTCAGTTAACATGGTGTTTATTATTTTTATAGTTAATTTGATTTAAATTCAACTGTGTTGGAAATAGTATCTTTCTGTATGTGCATTTAAATGTAATTTAAATAGCAAATTCATTGATGATTTGTATCATGACACCAGGTAATCTCGGCTCCACTAACTTCAGAATTGGTAGTCTGTCATCAATTGGTCAGCTGTTGACTTCCTTTAATATAGGAAGTATAGGAAGTTGACCATCAGTGACCCTCTCTGCTGAGTAGCTTGTTTGGCAACCAAGTTATTACATGGCAACTGTTATTATGGGCATTAATGAGTTCAAAATTTTGTTTGTAAACCAAGTGGTTCGAAAAGCGAAGCATTCGAAACCCAAGGTTTGATTGTATTACTTTCTCAATATTGGAACAAGTTAGGCAGGTGCTCCTATGCAAACTATAAGTTTATTTTTTAACCCCTATTATAAGAACCACTCTAATATATGGCCTCTAATCATTTCTGTCTGTAAGAGAAAGTATTAATTTCTTTACTGTAAAAATCTGAAAATATTTTTTAAGTAAATTCAGAAAATCTCTGTTCGAGCTTCTGACGGACGACGCAAATTACAACCCTCCGCCTGAAAATATTTTTTAATTTGTTAGGGAAATACTTGTTTGAAAATATTATTTTAATAGATTTGTTGATTTATTTTTTTAGTCTAGTTAAAGTTTTCCCCATAACATGATTTAACCAAAACATTTTATTTCTATTAGATAATGGCAAGTGATCACATGATGTTGACTACATAAATTAAAAAAAAAAACTTTATTTATTTGTTTTTAATATCCTTTTCTCCCTGTGGGCACTAAGAGGGCCTCTTATAGCAGGCCCATTATGGGTTTGGTCAGGCCCACAATGGAGCGACTGGGTGGTGAGGGACAGGGCCTGACATATCCGAACGGACCACCCCCCAAAAATTCCTGGGGATTCCTTGACCCATCCGGTCCCCCAGAGCGGTAGGATGCCACCTTGACCACTCAGCCATCTGGCCAAATTATAAAGCTAATAAATTAAATGATAATGAGAATTTTATCACTTGGTGTTATCAAGGAATCATGACAAATGCATTAAAATTTTTTAAATTTCTGTCGTGTCATTGTTCTGCAGTGGGGAAATAACAGAATAAATGAAAATAAAAGAGTGGTATACCTTAATATCTTTAAAAACATATTGACACAAATATAAAAAAAAGGGATTCATAGTTGCAAATGAAGTCACACAAGTATGTCATAAGTGTGAATGCCTATACATTTTCCTGCAACAGATACTGTTTACAAATGTTGTGCGCTGTTTCTCAGATGCCGGCTTTTTGTTTTTTCTCAAAGGTATTTGTGAAGTGAAAAAAGTGTCAATTGCATGCCATCTGAATTGAAAAGCTAGGAAGGTAGAAACTTTTTCAGATTTTTTATAGAATTTTAAATATAGGAAATATTGAAAAAATGTGCTGTGGCATATGAGATACCATGTGACTCTTGAAGGGTTTTAATAACATTCTTGCATTAGTACTATCACAACGAGGGATTAAATTTTTTGGCAAGATAGTGATGGGTGACACGTTTGCTTTTTTGTCTTGACATTTTCAATCTACATAACATAGGTACATTTCTTCACTTTCACCACACAAATCAAAGTGTAAATGATCCTTGTCCAATAGAAAGCTTATGGCTAATTCTGTTTTGGGACCATGGAGAAGTCTTATTGACAAGGTTCATAGTCTGGGATGACCATCACTTCAGCAACATGCTATGCAACTCTTAAATGCCTACAGAACAAGAGAAGGGGAATGTCATCAGGTGTTGTCCTTCTCCATGACAATGCCTGTCATCAGACCTTAATACATATACAAGAACTGCTTTAAAAGTTCAGATGGGAGTTGCTCATCTAAATTACTAGAGACTCATCTAAATTAAAGTACAATTAGATTAGTGCCAATGACAGATAGTAGCTGTCTGGGTGCATTAGCCTTTCTGTGAAGGAGATATAAAGACATTTGTCATAACATTCCCATCCCAACTGAAACTGATGAAATTACATGAAGTAACATTACTATGTACCACTTTGATTAAAAAAGAATTATAAAATATGTAACTCTTGTTTTTCTTTATAAGCTCACTGGAAGTTGGAAAAATTACTCTCCTATTACTATAAATAGATCTGAGTTTTTGTTTTTTCGTCTAAAAAAAAGATTAAATATATCATAGTTAATTAATTAAAAAGATAATTTATAATTTATTTCTAATTATTAAAGTGAATACAAAATGGTGGCTTAACCAGCTACCTTTAGCCCAAGTTACATATTTTTATAATTTGATTAACTATATAAAACAACTGGATTTTAATTGGGCTATAATATATAAGAGCTAATTTATTATTTTTATACAGATAATTCCTTTGTCATTACCATACCATACAGGCAATAGATATAATATTTATAAAAATGAGATTAGCAACATACTTAAAATTTTATGCTCCAAATAAAGCAATGTGAATGGTTCAGGCATTAAAAAGAATACATTCTTGTTCAATTTTTGGAGATGGTGATCAGTAAAAATATTTGGAGGATAAAATTACAAGTTATGACTATTGTAGAAATATTTTTATTATACCAATAAATTGGTGGATATATTAATTATTTCATCAAAATACTTTGTGTGGGAATTATATGTTTTATTTTACAGTATGTTATAACTTTGTACTCGGAGGAATTATTTCAGTCCTGTATCGAATCTTCTTTGATCTCAGCAAACTGAAAGTATTATCAAATTTCAACATATCTGCAAAATAAAATTTTTTTTTGTTATTTTCGTAGTATAAATATAAATTATTATTATGCCTACAAAATTAATTTATAAGTATTTATTTCATTATTATTGCCTACTAACATAGAACAGAATATTTTTTTATTTACCTATTTGAATTCAAAATCTCTGTCACATGTTAATAAAATTTTTGCTACAAGCATAATATATATAATTAAAGATTCACTTGATGAGATTTTATATTATTATTTTTTTTTTAATAGACTAGCAAGTGTATTTAAATTAAACAACTGCTGGAGCATAAAATGATTTTTATCAGAGCTAAAGGCACTCCAGGAAACTCAAGTGCTTGAGTTTTATTGAAGTACAATACTAACACTGCTCTATAAAAAGTTTTATTTATATTTGAGGAGCTTCCTTAATGATACTTTTTAAAATATATATATCTAAACAAGCTTATTAATAAAATCTTTATAGATGGATAAATTGTGAGTTAATATTCAGAGCATTCTAGTGCACAAAAACTTTTTAAATGTTGATAAATACCATATTTTGATTTGTCTGAATCAATTAAGCGTTTTAACATTCAAATACTTGAAGATTGCATATGATACAGAACAAGTACAGAATTAATCAATTTTTAAAATTGGGAAAGCTCTTTAAAAAAATTTGAAATTTTTAAAGTTCATTTTCTATAAGTCTTAAAATATTGTAAAATGGTTATCATCATCCTTTTAATAACTTGGGGTGCTATATACCATCTGAATTTGCTGGCATGTTTTTTTGAATTATAATGGCTTCTCAATTATCTGGCATATCCTCCAGTGTAATCAACACCTATGCAGTCACATTTTTATAGAGATAAAACATGATATGTGACATGACTACTATTTCTAAGTACAGTATTGCATACTGATGCAATATTATTTTCCCACTTGCCTCCAAAAAGAATTAATTCCAAAGGGGGACAGGTCAAGTCATTCATTGTCTTTAAGCATACTTTTAGACCAATAACATTAATCCAGCACTTATGCTAATTTTGCAGCTCTCTGCAATGAATGGTCAGATTAGTTAGTTTATACTGTACTGTAAGTTGGTGATAGACAAAATATTATTAAAACAAAAATTTTCATTTATTAAATATCTGGTATTTATGTTTTGAGCTGGAATAGAACGGAATCCTGGTCCTTTGCATTCATCGTTTATAAAAGAGAGGCTGGCCTAGAAAAATATTAGAACAAGTAAATGAAGTGGTGGAGACTTCTGTTCAGAATATTTGACTTTCAGCATCATTAATTTCAAAGTTGTTTTTCAATCAGTTTTGTTACAAACTTTAAGTAAGTCAAAATTTTGTATTTATGATTTTTTTAACCAGTGAAGAGAAATATATGTTGGAAATTCTTTTTAAATTAGTAAAGAATAATGATCATTAAAAGAAATTTAAATGGATATAACCTTCTTTAAATCTAACAATGAAATTATTAAAAACAAAATAAACAGGGAGATTTCATCTTTTTAGTAAATAATTTGGAAAAAGTTGCAATCTGAATTAGACAAAATTAAAAATTTTTTGAAATTTTATTGTTGAATTTGTATTTTTAAATCTATGCTTTCCAAAAAGATAAATATCGTATAGCACATATACACATATAACACAAACGTACTGATTCAGCTAACATTATTGAAAGTTGAAAGAAGACTGATTGCCTTTTTTTGGTTGGTTTATATCATGCTCTTGATTCTATTAAAAATAAAAAGTTTAATTTCCATTCCACTAATCTTTCAATTACCTTCAAATACTATGAGTTTTTTCTGGATAAAGCCATTTTAGTCTCTTGGTGTTTAATGATATAAATAATAACAATAACAAAGTTATAGTGTGTTTAACATTTTATCTTCAATGTTTTGCATTAAGGATTTTGTTTAGTGTTAACAAATACTGTAGTGCAAACAACTGTTTTCTCTGGAGTTTCATTTTCATTATGTGCACTTTTCTCACCACTATGAAAATGGATTTTCTCTTAAAGTAGTAGTACTCACAGTTACTTCAAATTATCTTTTCCCTAATCCCATTGAGAAGCCCTGATATCAAAAAAATTTCACCATGCAATATCTTGCTACTGCTGCATGCATATTAGCTAAATATCATATTCCCAACCTTCTTTCATGGGGCTAAATCCTGTCTTGGCTTTTATGGAAGATAAGGCACAATTTAAATTTACAAATTTGTAGAACAACTCAGTATAAGTGTTTTTCACCTGGTTAAAATATTCAAGGGGAAGCAGCTGGACAGTCAAAAAATTTCTCTACTTGGCCTTGCAATGAAGGCAGCCTTTTGTGGAGCATGATATAGTACTTTTAATGAGAAATGCTTTAATTTTTTAAAAAAGTAAACCTTCAGAAAAATAAAGCATTTGTCATTAAAAACACTATATCATGCCCCACAGTCTGCTGTCTTCATTGCACAAGGCTAAGTAAAGAAATCTCACACACTTTCCCGACCAGTTTTTGACTGTGTTCAGCTGCTTCCCTTTTAACCAGGTGAAAAATGTTTGGTATTATTTTTGAAATGCTCTACAACTTTGTAATTTAAATTGTGCCTCAGCTTCTATGAAGATAGGATTTAGTCCCATGAACACAGATCAAGGGTATGGTGGCATAGTGTCGTTGAAGATACGGAAGATATATTTTTACCTTGAAAATATTGTAGTGTGTGCTGATTATGGATCTGATGCTGTTATCAAAATTGCATGTCCATAGTTCATGCATCTGTTGTAAAAATATTCCAGCAAGATTATAATTTACTAGCTCTACTGAGTAACTTGACATTTTGCTGAATGTTTTAAAAGCACGTCCAGTATTTACGATTACATGCATGATGCAGAGTTTTAGTTTCTAAGTTGGAAATTTTAGGATGTATTGGTAATGTTTGCATGAATGCAAACATTACCAATACATCCTAAATTTCTTGGTGAGTGAATGGTGAATGATCCATTCACTCCCTGATATTAGAGCTTAAGACAAATCATCACAATGTGACTTTATCCAGTACTCTTTCCTTTTAAAAAATTTCATTAAGTTAAAAGGTTTTTTCCTGGGAGCAGCTACTCCTAGACCCATTGCAGCTTCTCTCCCATTCCTATTGTTTATTCTCTATCTTTACCCTCATGAAAAATGATGTTATACCACTGGTAGCACAAACAAGATAAAACCTGGAACAATGTTTTATTAGCTATTTTTATTGTCCCACAAAAAAAAGAGAAGTTAAAATTCTTGGAAAGTAGATATTTTGGGTATATTGTATAATATTAATTTTTAATCTAGGTTGCATGGAACCCAGCAGGGTACATAACAAGCATAAAACAACAGTTATCTTTCACAATTCCCATTAAAAATTATATTAACCCCAATAAACATATAAGGCATTGCAAGTTTCAGTATTATATATGTCTCCTTGAATTTAAGATGAGTTATGGAAGAGAGGTACCGTGTTTCCCCGAAAATAAGACAGTGTCTTATATTAATTTTTGCTCTGAAAAGTGCGTTAGGCCTTATTTTCAGGGGGAGGTCTTATTTTTTCCAGGAGGAAGAATTCACATTTATTATTGAACAAAAAAATTCCCAAGTCGAACTTAGACGAGAGTGACGTATATCCGATGTGTCGAACTGTCGCCTTTTTATAGCGTCAACATCGGACTCGATGACCAATTAGTGCTTACTGAACCCTAGCACTATGCAAATGTCATGTGGCGTGATTCCCGGCCAACCAATTAGCCATCACCAGCCGTAACGTTATGCAAATCTGTGATTCCCATGCCATAGTCTTATGCAAATCATGCCGTGTGGTGTAATTGTCTGCTGACCAATCAGTGGCTGTACTTTCAAAAAGCCAACGGCCACTTTCAACCATCTGTCGATGACCCGTTACGACTAAAAATAAACTTCGCTAGGTCTTACTTTCAGAGGGAGGTCTTATATTTCGCAATTCAGCAAAATCTGTGCTAGGTCTTATTTTCTGCGGATGTCTTATTTTCGGGGAAACACAGTATCTCTAGTTCCAAAATGGTAGATTGTTGCAATATAGTGTTTATTGGTATTGTAAAAAATGGGAATAGTACGGATATCAGACAATCCTTGTTTCTTGTTGGGAACCATTATCACCTGGCTATCTTCCTTGCTCCTCTCCTCATCAATGATAACCTCCTCTATCCTTCTACATACAAAGAAAATATGTCCCATATTCTCTTGTTCACCCTCCCCTGCCAGCTTTATTGCTCCTCTAGGCAACATATCAAGACAAGAGAAAAATAGAACATTCTAGCAATATATATAAACAATTAACTATAACTATAAATTTATTTATATATAATTTGTAGTAGTCACATTTACCTGTGATTAATTAAGAATGAATATCTACAATCAAGATTCATTTGTAGTAAAAATATAGAGCATGTTATGTTAGTTTCTAACATACCAAGTCCTAATGGTGAAATACTTCAAATTGTGTCAAGATATTTAATATTACATTTTCATCATTATTGTTTATAGATTTTTGAATTTTTAAGAAATTGTGATTCATCATATAGAGAACACATTTTAAAATCCTGTTAATAGCTAATGATATCTCACTTTTTAAAATACTAAATTAAATTTACTTATAAACAATTTTATAATAATATATACTTACAAATGCCTTCATTTTCGCAAAACCACGATCCAGTCTCAGGTACAAGATGACAGTTAACTCTATCTATTGGTATAAGTTCTTCTTGATGCATGTGTTCGTTTGACTTATAAAAGAGACCAAAGCCAATATCATGATTTTCAGTTTTGAATTCCCACTGAAGAATAGCATCACTTTCAGAAATGTAAATATCAACTGTAGCAGAAGATTTTAATCCTATTTCTAATGTTTCAACATCATTTTCATTTGTAAAACTCTGACTCTCTTGCAAGTAATATGATTTAGGAACAATCCCACCTGGACTAATCTATAGTAATAAGATATATTAACTTTATAGCAATTAAAGATAAAAATCATTTATATTTATGGTGCCCATTGCATATCAAGAATGAGATAAAACATTACTTACTATGTCACTACAATCAGGTTCTCCATTAACTCCAACTTTTGTTCCACCCCAACGAACTGGCAGGTCACTGGCATCAATTTCAGTTAAAAGAACATCTTTCCAATCATCTAAAATTCATATTTTGAAAAATTGATTTTATGTAAAAACTTTTCTAAATTTTTAATGTTACCTACCATATGTATTTTTATGATAAACTAAGGTAAACAATAACTGAACATAATCAAATATGCTCTAAATGACAGGTTTTGTTTCACAGGATTTTTTAAATGAAATGTTTTTGACCAATTCAATCCATCATCAGGTTCCAAATATAAAAAGAAACTATCACGTTTCTACAACATTGTGAAATCCAAATTATTTCTTGAATCCATTAATAGTTTTTGACGTAAGTACCAGTGGCGTGCGGTAACATTTGATGATAAGGAAGCTGTGTTTCTGTAAGAAGCCGACATCCAGGGACAATCAGTCAATTGCACGTCAGTGATGGTCTAGGGCCCATTCGTATCGTTTATTCGATAAGCCAGTAAAAACCGTAGACTTCTCTAAATGCATTTTTAATATCACAATTACATTCCGAATCGCTAACCACGGTATAAGGACTACAATTAAAAATAAAATAATAACAACTTAGTGAAATAAAATGTGGTGGATATACCGGTACATACCTGGTACAAAATATTCTTCAATTGTACGAATATACTTTTAAAGAAAATTATAATTAAATATAGCTTTGTAAAGAAATGTACATAAAAATATAAAATATTCTTTACTTTTTAAATCTTAAAACAACGCACTTAATCAAATAGCTCTCTACGAGTGGCTAATGGATGGAATCGAAGACGGTTGCGGAGTGTGCATACTCACGGACTACCANTGGAATCGAAGACGGTTGCGGAGTGTGCATACTCACGGACTACCAAATCCCCAGGGTGCCAATACCGGTCAATGTAGAATACCTGTTTTGTCTCATCACTAGTATATCTCAAAGGACACGACAGGGCCGTTGTAGATTTTAAACGTTTCTCATCATAGCTGTAAAAACCTAAATATGTTAAAATTAATAGTCATTTGTTTTCTAACTAATTCGTTTTAGGACCAAGTGTCCTCAGAAATTTCCAAAATTTACAACTTTTCGGTCACTCTCATTGAACTGGAAAAATTTCTGTCTTTATTACATCTAATATTATGAAGAAATCAGTCTCTACTGTACTCGGCTAGAGATGGTTTGGTTAAACTTTTGTTTAAGTAAAATTTTGGCTCTTTCATCAGGGTTTTGTTTATGTCCCCAATTCCCTAACTACTTCTTAAGTAGAAATAAGTCAAAATAAGTTGTTACTTTGTACTCAAATATTTGTAGTCTCGGGAAAAAAGGGGAAAGACAAATTTTTATGACAAATGGATACATAAATTGTAAATGTAAGGAAAATAAATTCTAGAGCTTTTTCTGCACCTCGTGCATCTCTCTCATCCATTAAATTTAGTTATAAATGACGCTGTCAGAGTAATAGTTAATTTTTTAACATTGTACAAGAATTGTACACGTTTTTTTTTCTACATACCCTTAAAGATGGGATATACGAAATCGTAATATCAATGGTTTAATGTTGAAATCCATGAGTAATATAAAATTGGAGAGCAGAATAAAAATATCAAATATTTTAATGGCTTTTTTTTAAACTCCTGCCAACTATACAGAACTATCGTAAAAACATACCAGTAAATTCTTATTGCTTGGGTTAAGTTATAAATCTACTTGTGATTCACATAATCGGGCGACGGCGGCCAACAGCCCAGAACCTGTCCTGGATAGAATTGGATGCGGTATACAAATAGCATCCACCCGAGGTCCTAGGCTTCCACCGGCTAAACCGGGTGAGGTTGGTGCTCTGTAAAGCGCATGCACGAATCAGGCTTTTTGGATGCTGACATACAGTGCTTCCACTCAGCCACTAATATTCAAATATACAATAGAAATCTTATCTTTTTTTTCACGTGTAGTATAGAAATTTGTAATAAGATACATAATGCGGTTATAATAAAATATTGTGCGATTATTTTCATATAATTAAAATTAATATGTATTTATTTTTTTTAGAAAATACAAGGGAAGCAGCGCATTCACCTCTTCCAATGATGCCACGCCACTGGTAAGTACATATTTTATGCAATAAATTGTGTGTATTTCTTCATACTTATGACTATTCCTTTCAAATGTTTACACACAATGGCGTGCATCACTTTTGGACATTTTTGGGTATACAGGTGACAATTTATCTTATCCGTGTGTACTAATTAATTGATGCTCTATCTGTTTTTGTTTTTGATTTGCACTACCTATCTTCCAAATTTTGCCACTAGGTGCGCTGCTGTCGTTTGCATTAGGTCAGGTGTAGTCACTTCACTAGACCGTTACTCACTTGCATAGCTGTAGCTCTCTTCGTTTGCAAGAATTTTCCAGTTAAAGGGACTTTCCTATGCGCCCTGTGTGTGTGTATATATATATATATATAACAAAACCTTTTTAGCTGCATTCATGCATAAAAATGCCTATAAAAGCAATATAATAATATATATTAATATATTAAAAGCAAAATGAAAATGTTCAATCACTGCCAAATCTAAACTAAAACTAACATTTTACAAAGAAGTGCTATAAATAGAGACTCAACTGCCTGGACGAAACATAACCAAATCAGTCAAGACTGACAAGAAGTACTTTATCCACACTTTCCAAAATATTATGTTTCAATTGATTTGATTAATTACTTTGTTTTAATTTAAATTAAAATCTTAATAGCTATTTTAAATTTGCTGTAAATTTATCAACCATTTGAAAACTGGTCTGATAAATCCATTTGAAATTTGAATTATTCCAATTATTCTGGATCGGGATTTTATTAAAAACCAATATGTACATTTTGGACTGATTTATTGCCCTTCATCAGTTGGTTATATCTCATGTATTCTTGTCTTTTCAAAATTGTATTTGATATTAAATTTTAATTTACAATTAGTATCCTCCTCATAATTTCTCAGAGGAGGATACTACAGTGCCAAACAAGCCACTCTGCCAAATGGCTTGTTTGGAAACCAAGTTATCATAATGCAACAGGGAACAAAAGTGATTTCAAAATTTTGTTTGAAAAGCAAGGCATTCAAATCCTGAGGTTTATGTATGTATGTATATATATATATATATA